GAGAGAGAGAGAGAGAGAGAGAGAGAGAGAGAGAGAGAGAGAGAGAGAGAGAGAGAGAGAGAGAGAGAGAGAGAGTACTTATGGATGACGGGTGGACAACGTCGAATAGCAATAAACATACCTGGTTGAGCGGGTAATTCAGTAATCTTTTGGGAATGAGGGACATTAAAGGCGAACTTTACGGACTATCACAAAGGTGAAGTAGGTTGTCGAATGAGGTCCAATCCAATATCTCTCAATATGCAGTATGCGATGTGCCGGTCCAGAAGTAAGAAGAGGGGACTTTAGTCGACACGGCATAGCGCACGTTTGATATGCCTCTGTCTCGAACGCGGGTGATGCCGACATTCTGTTAGGCGAGTATTTTTTCAAGTTGGATGCAATGTCTCGCATGGTATCACTTCATGTACGTCGGTATTTTGGCATTGCAGTCTAACAAGAATCCGTATATTGAGACGAGAAACCTTTCGGATATTCGTGCTCCATTTCGAGTAATTGAAATGAACTTTTTCCTGATGTACTTTTCGTTACGTAGCTTGTGCCTTGTGCGGAAGTTGTGCCGTTGTGCCTTGTGCGGAAGTTGTGCCGTTGTGCCTTGTGCGGAAGTTGTGCCATCACCTGTTCGAATACACCTTTACCACATTCATTGTCATTCAAAGCCGGAATTTGTCTCCAGCTGGGAATGTGGGTAGATGTGCTTGGGACAGGCAATAGAGAGAAGTGTATTTACGAGATGCAAACTAACGTACCACGTTTACACTAATCGAAACGCAAAAACGTGAAGAACTTAACCCAGACAACGTAGAAGTAGAACTGCAGCTGTCTGGATAACGTACACTTCTCTTTCGAGGATGGAATTAAGTCTATGCCGAAGGGTATGCCAAGGTCCAATGCTGAATGAGACTTCTTCCTCTTGCTTTTTCTTCCCAAGTGAAAACCTGTGATTGCATTAACGGACATGGAACCAGAGGGAGGGGACCGACTGGCCCGACTGGGCCAATACCCAGCTTCGGCTGATGCTGGGAACCTTGTCGAGTGTCTCACATATTGACGATATATTTTGGAAGTCTCTCTCTCTCTCTCTCTCTCTCTCTCTCTCTCTCTCTCTCTCTCTCTCTCTCTCTCTCTCTCTCTCTCTCTCTCTCTCTCTC